AATGAGACAATCAATGGTCACTTACATTAGTCTGCGATTCCATAGTCTTTGCTTTTCTGAGCCGATTCTTAGCCGCGTCTAAGTCTAACCGTTTGGTCTCCAAAATCTTTCTCTCTTTCTGTGTGAGTACGACAGACATACAAATGAGTCCACCATTCAGTCGATTCACAGGCAAACCCATTGCTTACAGTTATAGTTCTCATGTCTTCGTCCAAGAACTTCCTCAACGGCAGCACAAAACTTCTGTCAGAGTTGGCCACGAATTCGCGCTCAGTTTGGCCCAGATTTTGCTCGGCTTTGCCCACTTTGATGAGCGCCGAGCCGTACACCGTTCCCGGACCGTACTCTATGCCCGCGTCTATCATGTCGGTGCCCAACGACTCCAGGTTTCGCATGCGTTCCCTCTTCTCGGGACCTAATTTGTCAAAAATCATGTCTCCATAACGAGTATCTAAAAGACATGACACACAGAAAGGATTTCATGCCATCTCTAAGTACTAGTTCTCCGGATAACTTGCGATACAAAACACTCGTCGCTCCAAGAGATCAGTCGATCACTCATTAGTGGTGTCTTAATAATCAATACTAAACTCACAGAACCAGTGATAAGACTATCACTCATTTTGTGTGGCCTAACAACAAGTGTTCACTGAATTGGTGGATGTGGTCATCACTTGGAGTGCGAGTGTCTACAGAGAGTGTGTCTATACTTGGGTTGGGCTGTAATACTGCTTCGGTCTTCGAGACGATCCTTTCGGTCCACAACTTAGTCCTGTCGGCTCTTTCGGCCAAACTCTCGAACTGTGCGTCCAATTCGGTCTTCTCAGCGGTTCCTATCGTCTCTTCGGCGTACTGTCCGTAAAAATCAACCCATCAATGGATCAACTCATGAATGTGTGTCTCACTCGCGGATCAGCTGCTGATGCGATCATTACTCATACCTGTTTGGCTCGCGTGAAGACGGTTCCCACGTCCGACACCAACCCCTTGAGACTCTTGGCGCTGAAGTCCATGACCGGCGATGACTATACTGTCACACAATGGACACACAGATCACAAGTCATCGACAAATGCGATACAAATGAGACAATACTTTGCGGTTATGACACAAACACTACGCCTATTGCGAAGACATTAAACTAAACGCTAATCAATAGACGACTGATGAATGAGTGTCTCATCACTGGTGTGAATGTCTCATCGGTG